CCTTAGTATTTCTTATAAAATGGATTTGCTAGCAAAATTTTCTCAGGTTTTGTTTATCTGGGAATGTTTCTGTTATATTTTTATTTTTGAAAAATAACTCTCCTTTATGTAAGATTCTTAGTTGAGGCTGGGCATGGTGGCTCATGCCTGTAATCCCAGCACTTTGGGAGGCTGAGGCAGGTAGATGGCTTGAGCCTAGGAGTTTGAGACCAGCAACACGGTGAAACTCCGTCTTTACCAGAAAAATACAAAAATTAGCCAGGTGTGGTGGTATGCACCTATAGTCTCAGCTACCTGGGAGGCTGAGGTGGGGGGATGGCTTCAGCCCAGGAGGTAGACGTTGCAGTGAGCTGCGATTGTGCCACTGCACTCCAGCTAGAGTGACAGAGCCAGACCCTGTTTCAAAAGAAAAAACAATGTTTAGTTGACAGATTTTTTTTTTGTTTGAGTGGTTTGATATGTCATCTCACTGCATTTTCTGGCCTTCTTTTTTCTGTTGAGAAGTTAGCTGTTAATCTTATCAGGTTTCTCTTATACAGGATGACTTGCTGTTTTCAAGATTTTTTTTCTTTAGCTTTAATGTTTTGACTGTGATGCGTCTTTGTGTGGATGTCTTTGTATGTATCCTGCTTGGAGTTCACTGAGTGTCTTGGATATGTAGGTTAATGTTTTCCATCAAATTTGGAATACTTTCAGCCATAAATTCTTCAGATGATTTTCCTTTTCCTTTCTGTCTTCTCCTGGTACTCATTATGCATATGTCGGTACACTTAATGTTTCTCATATTCCTTTAAGGCTCTGTTCATTTTTTCTGCTTTCTCTTCTCCCTCTTTCAGATTGCATAGTCATTATTAATCTATTCATGTTTGCTGATTCTTTCTTATGCCAGCTTGGATATCTTGTTGATCTCTCTAGTAAATTATCCATTTTAGGTCCAGGTTTGGTGGCTCACACCTTTAATCCTAGCACTTTGGAAGGCCAAGGCCAAGGCAGGAGCGTTATTTGAGTTTAA